TGCTCCGCTGCAGCTCCCATCAGGTCTAAGGGACAGAGCCTGGCAGAGACTTGTGTTGAGCAGAATGATGGCACCATGGTGAAACACACCCTTCAGATCAGAGACAAGAAGTCCTTTGTGAATAGCACGCTTTTCTCCATATTAAACTTTGACATTTATATTGTTCATACTGATTTATTTTAAGCACTTATTAATGCATTTCCATGTATAAAATGTAAATTAATAAGTCCCAAGTAATTCAAGTATACCTCCAGCCTTAGAATATTTTCTGCTTTCTGTGCAGACACTAACCTGGATAGTAGAAATCCATCCCTACTCCGCAGCTTCCCCGCTTTTTATTGTTCAGCAGCCCAGCACAACATCCAGAGCACAAGGAGAGTGGCAAGTTAAGGAACTTGTTCTCTTTTCAAATTAAGTAACTTGCCATGCAGCTCTCCTGTATGTACCTATTTGTATTTAGTAAACCTTTTCGAAGGTTTACTAAAAAGTTTAGAGATGCATCTTTTCTGTGTAAAGGCCCGCCCTATTTGCATATACCAGCTGCAGTATGGGCAACTTCTCAAGTGCCACCTACCTGTTAAGCTGCAGTTTAGCTCCACCTGGTGGAAGAGGATCACTCTTTTAGCTTGCAATCCTCTGACATTTGATTAGATACAATCTGCTTTATAAGAGTAAATTTTAGAAGAGTCTTCTTAATTTCCCTCTGCCCACCTTACCTTGACATGCACAACAAATTCTTTGGAAAGTCCAGCATATCCAGTTGTTTCATCAGCTACTTTGCCTTGAAGATTGAACGTAATGGTGTGACCTGGGTTCCTGGCTGACTCAAGAATGGCACAACCATTTGGTTGAAGGTGAACACAGAGCTCACAGCAAGTCTTGTCTTTGCTCTAACAAAGTCAAAGTAGGAATAATAAATTATGTGAACGACTAGATATGGCAAAATCCAGAACAGAGAGTATCACAATATAGTTTCTGTATTATTCAAGTTTCCACAATATCACCAGTCTAGTATGAAAATATCTCTGTATTTTTCAGATTTGCAGTCCTGATACCAAAGTCCTAAAATTGTGGACTCCGGAATTTCAAAGCACAGAAAGAGTTCATCTTAAGATGACACAGATCTGAGGATAACACGAAATACACCTGGGTGCCTCAATCAGAGAGGGAGTTAGAGTCTCAGCCTACAAACGCGGCAAAGAAGGTTGGAATATAAAATTGACGTAGACAGGAAATGAACTACAGCAACTCTCTGCCACTAGCCCTCCTTCATTTGCCTCAGTGTTTTCCCTCATTTACTTATACTGTTCTCACAGAAAACACTTAAGGAGTCAGAATTTTTACATGAAAGAGTACAGCAACACACTGTCCATGCTTGTCTGTTCAGGTTTGTGGACTGTGTGATCCTGTTGTATAAAAGACACAATATACAAAATACCTATTTAAATATTTTATCAACTCCATCATCATTCTCATATTTAAATAAAACTAGGATTTTAATAAATGTAAAATGCTAATAATCAGCCCAATAATTTAAAAGACTTCTGGCTTACATCCTCTAATGTCTTTTCAGCATTTTTAAGACGTGAAAGAATCAATATTTCTAGGGAAAATTTTCATTTCCAAGGCACTATCTTCTGAAGAAAAAGCTTCATCCTGAAAAAAACTGTCTATCAGATTCAATATACTTCTAAAAGTAAAGGAAAAATTGTATGGATTTTAGAAGTGGTTGTGAAACAAGTGAGCCAGCATGTCCTCAAAGTGTAATTAAGTATGTATCATAAGGTCAGTTGCAATTTTTGTATTGCTATTTTGTTTTACATTTACCTATCTTCATTCCAAGGACCCCAAAAAGTTTTAAATGACAACATTTTTCACATTCCCTGGGAAAAGGAACGTCTTCCACCACTAAAAATAAGAAAATTGAGATCCAGATTTTCTATAGGTCGCTCAAACTCATAAAGCATGTCAGTATCACAGCAGAAAAGAGAAAGTTCAAATTTAAGTACCCAGTTAATAACCTCTCTGTAGTAAGATATATTGCAATGTGACAGACTGCAAAGGGTTCTCTGTACCAGAATTACACTAATGAACATGAACACTAGGAAGTCCTGCAAGGAGGTCTGACAGTTTGCCTGGCAGCCTGACGCTATCCCCGTTGAGAAATCTAACTCTGCTATGAGTACTCTATTCCCACTAATGCTAATTCACATCATGTAAAAGAGGAATGGGACCAGCTTTGACTATGAAATTATTCACTGGATAAATAAGGGGAAGAACTGGAAAAAGTGTAAGGGAAACAGCTTCTTCCCTCATCAGTAGAAGAGTTTCATCAGAAAGAACTAATTTCTACAACTCCATTTGCTTACTTGTGTAATGCAAGTGCTGAGAAAGAAAGGCAATAGCAAGATTTTGAAGATGGGATGAAAGAAATCAAAATGGATCAAACCAAATCTGGAATATTTCAGTTGGCTTATGACAGGCATGTTACTTAGAAAAAGACACAGTGGAAAAATGGGCATTTAAAATCAATCCTTAGAATTTATCCCAAAAGAGGAAATCATAGAATCATAGAATGGTTTGGCTTGGAAGGGACCTTTAAAGGTCATCTAGTCCAACCCCCCTGCAATGAGCAGGGACATCTTCAACTAGATCAGGTTGCTCAGAGCCCCGTCCAACCTGACCTGGAATGTTTCCAGGGATGGGGCATCCACCACCTCTCTGGGCAACCTGGGCCAGTGTTTCAACACCCTCAGCGTAAAATATTTCTTCCTTCTATCTAGTCTAAATCTACCTCCCTTTAGTTCAAAGCCATTCCCCCTTGTCCTGTCGCAACAGGCCCTGTGAAAAAGTTTGCCGCCATCTTTTTTATAAGACCCCTTTAAGTACTGATAGGCTGCAATAAGGTCTCCCTGAAGCCTTCTCCTCTCCAGGCTGAACAACCCCAACTCTTTCAGCCTTTCTTCATAGGAGAGGCGTTCCATCCCCTGATCATTTTTGTGGCCCTCTTCTGGACCCCCTTGTGTCTTTCTTATGCTGAGGGCTCCAGAGCTGGATGCAGTACTCCAGGTGGGGTCTCACCAGAGCAGAGTAGAGGGGCAGAATCACCTCCCTCGACCTGCTGGTTATGCTTCTTTTGATGCAGCCCAGGAGACGATTGGCCTTCTGGGCTGCAAGCACACATTGCTGGCTCATGTCCAGCTTTTCATCCACCAGTACCCCCAAGTCCTTCTCAGCAGGGCTGCTCTCAATCCCTTCATCCCCCAGCCTGTATTGATAACAGGGGTTGCCCCAACCCAGGTGCAGGACCTTGCACTTGGCCTTGTTGAACCTCATGAGGTTCACACGAGCCCACTTCTCAAGCTTGTCCAGGTCCCTCTGGATGGCATCCCGTCCCTCTGGCGTGTCAACAAGATATGAGGGCGTTCCAGGTACCTTGTTAATATGTGGCAAGCCAATATAAATTACAGCTTGGAATGGCCTGGTATTCCTGTATGAAATCATTCAGTCTATTAAAAAATCCTACCAAAGAGTAAAATGTAAACTGTAAGAAAATGGACAAAGCCTTATGTCTGAATTTGCCTATTCACTGGCAATTTCCTGGGTTCAGTTCTGCAATCCTTAGCTCTTTATCTGACTGGAAGCACAATTCTTAGACAGATTAAAAACAGCATTATTTTTAATCAGGCAATGAAATGTAATTCCGAAGCAGAAATCAGTAACAGCGTTTCCTACCTTTCCAATTACATGGCCATTGACAAGAGCAAGAGCAAGACGTGGCATCTGATGACTGCTGAATATACATATATTTCTCCCTTTGACATTTACATCAAAAAGACCTAAGAGTTAAATGAAAAAAAATGTTAGAAGTATGAGAGTATATTAATTCATATTTGCATTTAATTGCAATTGATGATTTATCATTTTCAAGGGAAAAGAATGAATCAAGTGTTTAACTCAACAGTTTGACCTCTCTGATCAATGAATCCCCTTCATCCCTTCAGGAAAGGGCCTCTAGAGACTACTGCCTACTTCACTGCCTTGAGAAGAAAAACCCTGAGAGCTAATGATAAGGAACAAGTTTCTTTTGATCAGCATATATGTTTAAAAAAAAAAAATCCATAAAAAGGAGCTGAGGACTCCAGCGTAATGAACTGGGCTATAGCAATGAATTTACATGATAAATAACAGATCACGTAGGGAACATAAAGCTCTCGGGTAGGAAAAGATAATACATTTTCTCTGTATCCTTATTAGAATTTGTAAAGCAAATCTTGCAGCATAGCTCATGGTTTCTAAAATTTTAAATTTCCAAACAATTACCTCTTACAGCTACAAAATACTGATGAAAGTTAAAGGAGTGCCATTTTTATTGTTCCCAACAGCAACAGCTGATTTTTTAAACTGTTCTACCAGTACATTATGTTGCCCATTTGTAAGGTGCAGCTGTCTCTGGAGGACTCCTGGGGTGTCCATAACATAAGATTTTTGGGGTGTCATTGGGACCATGACAATTATACAGCCAAGGATCATTGTGCCCATCGGGATGATGCCACAAATCATAAAACACAGATGGGGTTTCTAGTCCTTGGGGCAAGATAGGGAAGACACATAACTGTCACAATGGGTCTCTGCTTTCAGGTAGAGATAAAGCTTCCTGAGAAATTAAAAAACCCTAGACCAAATCATCATCTGATATAATTTGCCATCACCAGTTTGAAGGCCTTTGAATTATATTGCTTTAGATCTGCTGAAGGCAAAAAAACAGTTCTACCAGTATCTGAAATGCAGAGTTTTCTATTAGGAAAGATAGGTAGATACTTAATGTCAGAGGACTTTATTCTGAAGTACACGCAAGGAAGCAGGGCCCCTAAATGAAAATTTAAACAACAGTTCCCAAGTCAGCACTTGTGGACTTCTGTGGCACATGATTATTCTAAATGCTTTGTAAATTACTGCACATATAAGTAAAACAAACAAATCTGAAAGAAGTTAAGGGAGAAAGATATTGTTCTGAAGGCAGAAGAGTTGCATGATAGGTGCCTGCATTCATTTTGTACTTGTGTTTGTTTTGTACTCTGAACTATAAAAAAAGAATACATGGTTATTCCTGTGTCACTAACTGTTCCTCTGATATAAGGGCAACTTCATCATATTGTTCAGAAAAATCAAGCTCTTTTTGATTACCTGTTTAATTCCTTAGTATTACTAAATCCTTGGGAGGTTGCAGATCACACTACTCATTTTTCTGACTTACAATCTAAATTAATTAACAGCCAGTTTATACCAATTTTGTTTTGATCCATCTTTCTAATATATTTAATTATATTTATCATCTTTACTGATATTTAGTAGTTGTGCATCAGGTTTGGTACTTGCACAATTATACTCATTACTCATTTAAAATTGTGGAGATAACACTCAAATGAATTTTACATCTAGCATGTAAAAATGTACCAAAAAGGTACAGAATGCAATAAAAATGTCACATGTTGATGTTGGAAAAATACCATTAGAAATGCACTGATTTATAGAAATGAAAGTGCATCTGGATGAAAATCAGGAAACACTCTGCAGTCTGAACTTGAATTCTGCATGTTAGAAGATTATGAACTCCGCAGTGTCTAAATGACTTGATTTGTCTAAATCAAATCAGATACAATTCATCAGTTGAAGACACAGCATTAAAAAACAACAAAGATGTGCTTACTGTATCAGTGCAGATTAGAGACCAAATTCCTACAAGCAGATAGTTTGGTCTGTCACCAAGTAATTCACAATTTGTGTTCCTAAATGTATCTCCTTGGAGGAAGGACACTACCGTGCCGTACAACTGCTTTCAGGCATTTAAGACACTTGCAAATCCTAAAGCTGTAGATAGGAGATTTGACTTAATCAAATTTGAGTCACCAAATACTTTGAACTCAAGGACCAAAACTGCTAAGTAATAAGAAGAGCTTTAGTAAAACAGAGTAACACCCACTTTCAATGTTTGTAATATTACTGATCTCCCATATTATACATTTGAGTTTTCTGGTGCAGCTTTTCTAAGATGCCTTTATAGGTTATGCTAAGGAGTATTGATTGTACTGCTCTCCATGCACTCTGTGGTGTGTCCTGAAAGATTCTGTTCTATCACCTCAAAAAAAGATGTGTGTAAGGTCCCTGGGAAGATGTCAGAAAGGCTGAGCAGCTCCATCACTACAAAGATAACAAAAATATGTGTGCCTAATACGTATTATAGTTAAGTGTTAGTAACACAGTAGGGTGGAAGCTGATAAAGAGGAGGAACTGGAAGAGTGCCATTAAAATCAAAGACAAGGATGGAACAAAATGAATTTTATATATATATATATATATACACACACTCCCTATTAATGAACTATACCTGGAAATTTAATTTTTAGCTTAGATGGATCTAGTTACAAAAGATTGTAGCTATCCTTGCCATGGCAGTTCCATGGGACCATTAAACTGCAGATGACAAGAAGTTTCTATTTGGTAAGCGAAAGCCAGTGACGAGACACAATATGAGACTTTTTTTGTGCTTTATATGTAAACCAAACATAATTTCTGAGTTCTTATAGCCATTAACACATGTAAATATTTTAAGTAAGGAAAATGTTTGTCATAATTATCTAGTCCTATTCATTAGAGGAATCACCATATGAGATCACAGTGAACTATAAAGTCTTCCTTTTTCATATCTTTTATGCATACATCCACATGAAAAATACTTTACCATATTTGTTTTTCTTGTCACCAAGAGCATCAACTCTGCTATCTGGACTGAGGCAAATGAAGCCACGGGTGAGACTGTTGTAAAACTGAAGTGTATTGCCTTCCTGAAATTTCCACTTTTCAGCAGCCCACTAGTTTTGTAAACAACAAGCAGAAAAGACTTATGAGAAGATGATACACAGGAATTTGACATACATGACAACAACTGACCTGATTTCACTCAAAGAATAATTTGAACGGTTTAAATAAAAATAAAAAGGTATGTTCTTACAGTTTCCTCTCTCTTGAGTTCCAGCTCTTGTCCTGTACAGATAAAAACCGTGTAATTAATTTACAGAACGTCCTCATTCCATTTGACACGGTTGCAGTGAAGCTGGGTTCTCCTCCCCACCAATTTTCACTTACTTCCTGGAAACGTGCTGGCATCTGTCACAGTCAGTTCTCTAGCAATATTGCCATCATCCTGCCCCTGGTCCAGCCACCTAAAAGCCAGAACCCATTTCAGTAATATAACCTTGATTGGCAACTCCCACAATACTGTACACATGGCACTTGCATACTAATACTTCCTGTTCTATTTGTTAAAGTCTCAAGGCTGACAAACAGCAATACAAAAATCCAGCTTTAGTGAAAAGAGATTGACTTTGGCAAAAATGGTTTTGTTTGTTTGGGTTTTTTTGATGAAGCTTATAAATAAATGCTTTCCTGGACTGAGGTACAAGGGCCTGAGCCAATTATTACAAATCAGAGAACTCATATTGATCCCAGATCAATAACAAAATGTGCAGTGGTCATGATGTTTGCTCTTCCTGTCTGCAAGAAGGCTACAGCAGGATGCAAATTGTTCCATGTCCTGAAAATCCCTATATAGGGAGGCAAATCCAACACAGGCAACAATTTTACCATGTCTGAACAGTACTTTTACAATGCCATTGTACCTGTTTCACATCTACTTACGTAAGTTAAGTCTAACTCCATTTAACTCAAAAAGATTCACACCCTGTGGAAGCAAGATCAGCAAGCACGGCGTCGGGCTCTAACCATAACTAGCACATACCCTGTATTTTTCTGCCTGAAATGGATTTGAACTCTCCCTAAATTATGCATGAAGCTAGCATTATAGATCTCTTCATAGCAGTTCATCTCATCTAGAATACAGAATAAAAATTAGGTCAGGCAAAGATGAGGTGCTGTATCTGGTAGGCAGAAAGCCCTTACTCACACATAAATCAGTTTCAGTGTGCACATCGCTCACTCCGAGCTGTCTCAGACAGTTATTTATTCACTCAGAGAAGTGAGAAGAGGAAATAGAATTGAGGTGCCACTGGCAAGCTGCAGCTAGATTCATACGTGACTGGACTTTACCATTCCTAATATTTGCACTGATCTTTATCAATTATAATTTTTCCGTAAGGTGTTGGGAATTAATCAAGCATAGATAAAATTAGAAACAAACTATAGAACAGAAGATTCAGAGCAGCAGCATCTGCAGGGGAGAAGGCAGGGAAGTTAGGATTGCTTCAAATTATGTTGCAGCTCAGTGACAGGCTGCAAGGCAAATGAGAAAAAGAGATGTGGTCAGGTAGCCGTGATAGCTGTGTTTGTGATAGCCGTTTCACAAGTTCTTAAAGTCTGATCCTGAGCTCATTGAACCCCAAGTTAATGTCCATAGTAACTTCAGTAAAGTAGGATCAGTCTGCCGGAGAGACAGCAACCCACTCTTCTGAAAAGCCTTGCATCGCATGACATGGAAGAATGGATGGACCTGCTGGTGTCAGATCCAAAGTGTTGGATACGGGGAATGTGTCAAAAAAGCACACCTTGAATAGTTCAGAAAGAACATTCTTTCACAAGAATGGAAAGTTCCCAGGCAGAACTTTTTATTGCTTTTTCATTAGCTCAAATGCACCAGAGATTTGGGGCAGGTACAACTCAGAGAGCTGTAAAAAGAATCAGATCATTTCAGCTTGCTTTTTAGGAAACACATATTTCCCTTGACAGGACATTTCAGAAGAAAAACTAAGAATAATTACAAATTTATTAAAAACCTAACCCAAATGTAATGCCACCAACCTGTGACAAAGAAAAGTATAATCCAAATCTGTTATAGGATCCTTGATTACAACTTTGTCCAGAAACCAGCCGTTTCCTTAGAATAAATTAAAAAAAAAAACAAAACAACAAAAAAACGTTAGTTCATGAGAGGCAGATTTAATGAAGTCTGACTTCTTATGGCTTCGTCTCTTCTATGGGAACTGCAAAATCTGTAGCTCCGCCGGCAGGTTGCCAGAGTCATGGCTGCCCTGATGGCTGGAGAGAAGACAGTAGCTGCTCTAGGTACTGTAGAGCTTGCTTATGGGCCTGCAAGCTGCTAGGTCCCTCCCTGGCTGTCATGGCCCTGAGTGCTGCACATCCCCCCCTCATTTAACATAGTCATTGTTTGAGACTTATTTATTTTGCTAATCAAAATATTAACAAGATTAGAGAGCAGCTTATCATGGTTCAAAATAAGCTGCTGTTTTACAATATTTAGGCTCAAGAGTCTGAAAAACAGGTCTTGTGACTGCAAGCAATTTGAGTTTCACCATTAATTGGGTGTCTAATGACAAGATAGTGTATCCAAAATCTCCAACTGCATCTTTACAGTGTAACTGAAATTATAATAGCCCATTTTATCTATAACAAAGACTGCACAAGACATATTCAATCTTATACAGACACACTCCCTCTTCACAGTTTTTCCATAAGGATTAGTCAAAAATGACAGAATAGCAGATGGTGTCCTTAACATAATGGTTGAGAGTATAGTGAAAGTGAACACAAAATATTTGAAATTTGTGATGATACAATAAGGTAGCTGTGTCACTTGAATGGTTTCCTTAGAAGCCTTTGTCTTTCACTTCTAAAATGTTTTCATACATTCAGTTTTAGAAATACACATTGTATTTCAAAGAAAAGGTTAATAACTTTGCAGGCAGTATTCAGTGACTATATAGAGAGATTTCTGACCTGATCCAAGACCGTTGTGTCCTATAACAATCTTGTACAAATGTCCCAGGTGCACAGCTTCAACAGCAAAGATGTCAGTCTGTAATCAATCAACAAAATTTCAGTAAAGACTAAAAAGCAGAGCATTCTTCAGCCATGGAATCCTGAAGACCCATAAACCCATAGAACTCTGCTGTCAAGATCATCCTTTGAAATATCAGCTAGTGATAAGGTGAGAACAAACCAAGGAGGACAGCTTTCCTGAAATAAAAGAAGGAAGTAAGCCTGATCACTTTGCTAACGGGAGTAGTTCCATTCAAATGAATGGGATCAGAGTCAGAAAAGAAAAACCTGCTGAAAGCTTAACTGACTAAACAATTACAAATTACAGCAGATTTCAACATTAGAAATGCAGATATAAAATGTAAAGTTTCATTTTCTCTTCACTTCAAATCAAATTTTTAGGAGAATTAAAAACAAAAGTACACAGCTTACCTATTTTATGAATGAAAATTCTGTCTTCCAAAAGCACTGGTATAACTTTAGAAAGTATTTTTGGCTTAATTATGGAATTTTGGGGAAATATTGGAATGCAGTAATTATCTCTTTTCTAATTGCACCTTGCCTGGGGTAACCACCCACTTGAGAGAGAACAGCCAGCCAAACATATGAGAAAATGCCCTGTCTTTCACTTACTTGTCCTTTTAAAAATTTGTTGGGTTTCTGTGACCTGAGCAGCTGTCTTGATCCTGTATCACCTCTTTCTCCATAGACAGAAATATAGACATCAGCCTCAGTTCCAGCATTCCATAGTTCTCCTGTTGTCACATGCACTTCATAGGCAGTCACTGACAATGAAAAATGGCAACCTTTCATATCACAAACACTATTATAGTTACAATAACATCTAGCTGTGAATGAGCCTGTAGAGTCCAAATACATCTGTGTCAAGGACAGTTGGAGTATAAAACCTTAAAAATCCTATTCAATATTAAGTAAAATAATGTACAAACTTGCTTTGGTGTTATATTTATGCTTTTTATCCCAGATTGTCACTATGGGGAATGCAAAGAGAATTGAACTTTAAATGCACAGTAGTACGTCTTTGTCCTGCAGCATCATTTGAAATCATCATAAAGATGAAAAGTAAATAACATAAATCCAAGATTAGCCTCACCATAAGTGGTGAGATCAAAACTATAACAAGCAACAGGAGCCATTAACATTTTGAATACACTGGTTAATCAAACAAGCAAAAATCTAGCACCATAGTTTTAGTTTTCTATGACCTCCAAACTCAGAAAGCTGAACTGTTTTATTATTTTACTGATTCGTGCAATAGGATAGGATAGATTTCCTCTATTACATTCCATATGGAAATTCTTTAAAAGCTGTACATTTGGGAGGAAAAACCTAGCACTTAAATTCAATAAATTGGTTACCTAATAGAAATGGATAATGCAAATAAAATTAAGTTTTAGTCAAAATCCAATGAAACTATAATAAAGACTATGATACATAAAAACATATTAAAATGTGGTAATTAAAATGCAGATGTAGGAACCCCGTAAAATTCAGAAGTAAGATAAAAACTTGCAATTATAATCTTCAGTAGAAACATGGGAAAGGCAAAGTTTACACCAACATACAGTAACAATATTTTGTTAGACCAAGTGAGGTACAGAGAGAGCAAAAGGGGGAGAGAAAAACTCATTTTCTGGCACACAAGCTCTTCTTCCAGATGTAGGTGTCCTTGAGCTTCTCTGTCTTGCAAGTAGAAAAGAGTTTCCGGACCATTGAGTCCAAAACAACATCAACATTATCATCATTCAACTATCAGTTTCCACTTGAAATATGTTATGAAGCTTGACTGTAATCCTCTGAAGAAGGTTGCTCCCACATCTCACTCTTCTGATGGACAAACACCTTCTTTTAGTAACCAGTGAAAATTTATTCATGATCAGTCCATACCTGCAATTGTACTAAGTGGCCGTTCAGTGTTTACAACTTTTCCCTTGCTGCTTTTTTTTTTATTATTATGTCACATTTATTTACATGGCATTTGTGTGCAGGTTACTATACAAGCTGTCTTTAAAGAATTCAGTTTGGATAATGGTAACAATCTAGCTAAAACAGTAAGCACTCTCCACAGGTTATTTTAATGTGTCCACACAGAATGCTAGTGCTAGTTTCCTTCTAGCATCAGAGCTAACTCATTTTGAGATGATGACTGGGTACCTCTAAACTCCACTGAAGTATTGTACCGTAGACATATGCTATTAATAAATCCAGCATAGAGGTTTGAAATAGCTAACTTAAAAATTCAAGAAATTTTCACATTTTTTTACACCTCTCTCTACCTCTCATAAGCCTAGGGATCATCCCAGCTTTATAATAAGTATTTATGAGTATTTATAATGCTTACAGCTTTTATCCTAGGAAATAGTGACTCTCTTAATGGAATGAAGCTGCGTCAGGGGAAGTTCAGACTGGACATTAGGAAAAGGTTCTGCACTGAGAGGGTGGTCAGTCACTGGAACAGGCTCCTCAGGGAAGTTGTGAAGGGAGTGTTGATCTGCTCAAGGGTAGGAAGGCTCTGCAGAGGGACCTGGACAGGCTGGATCGATGGGCCCAGGCCAACTGTATGAAATTCAACAAGGCCAAGTGCTGGGTCCTGCACTTCGGCCACAACAACCCCATGCAGCGCTACAGGCTTGGGGAAGAGTGGCTGGAAAGCTGCCTGGTGGAAAAGGACCTGGGGGTGCTGGTTGACAGCCGGCTGAACATGAGCCGGCAGTGTGCCCAGGTGGCCAAGAAGGCCAAGGGCATCCTGGCCTGTATCAGAAATAGTGTGGCCAGCAGGAG